ACAACAGCCTCCTGGACCAGGTATAGATTCCTCATGAACACAACCAAGTGCTCTGGGATTCCCATTCTTCTCACTGTCAGCCACAACTTGTCATGATTCACACTGTCAAATGCCTTTGCATAGTCAATAAAGCACAGATAGACATTCTTCTGGTCTAACTGCATAGATCACAACAAATGATGGCTAATATTGAAAAGAATGGGGACCACAGAACACTTAATTGTGCTCATGTGAAACCTAAACCTAGATCAAGAAGCTATTGTGAGAATAGAGCAAGAGAACATTGCATGATTTAAAGTCAAGAAAGGTATGTGTCCAACTGTATATTTTCTCCATACCTATTCAATCTGTCTGCTGAATCATTTGAGAAGTTGGACTTTATGAAGAAGTATATGTCATCAGGATTGGAGGAAGGTTCATCAATTACTGGCATTATGCTGATTACACAGTATAGCTCACTGAAATTGAGGAGGGCTTAAACACTTGCTATAGAAGATCTTGGACTGCAGCCTTCAATATGGATTACATCTCAACATCAAGAAAATGAAATCCTCACCCCTGGGCCAATAGGCAACATCATTATAGAAGGAGAAAAGATTGAAGTTGTCAATGATTTAATCTTATTTGGACCCATAATCAACAGCCTTGGTACTAGCAATCAAAAAACATGTTGCATTGGGAATATTTGCTGTCAAGGATCTCTCCAAAGTACAAATGAGTAATAATGTAAATTTAAAGATCAATGTGCTCCTGATCCAAGCCATGGTCTTCTCAGCTGCTTGCTATGCATCTGAAAGTTGAACAATGACTAAAGATGACAGAAGAAGAATTAATGCCTTTGAATTGTGGTATTGCAGAAGAGTGCTGAATATCCCATGGACTCTTAAGAGAACAAACAGGTCTATCTTTGAGAAAGTGAAACCAGGATGCTCCTTGGATGCAAGGATCATAAACTTTTTCACATTTATTTTGGACATGTTGTTAGGAGGGGCCAGTCCTTGGAGAAGGACATCATGCTTGGAAACATGGAGGCTCAGCATAAGAGAGGAAGACCCACAACAAAATGGATTAGCACAGTGACTGTAACAATGGGCTTGAATGTGTCAGGGATGGCCAACATGGCACAGGATAGCACAGGGCTCATAGAATTGTGATGAATCACAGTCAATGTGACAGCACATGACAACAACTACCACTTGTGGATATTTATTTATTCATGCATCCAGTTGCTCCTATAATGGGCCAGGGGCTGTGAACTCAATGTCAGGAGCTGGGCTTATTTTTTATACTTGGAATAAATGCTGCACTGGCCCAACACTTATTGTTTTCTTAGCAGACTAAATAAGTGGAAAAGCTTTATAATCCATTGTCCTCAAGAAAGTCTTTATTTCTGGAGTCTGAACGGAAATGACTCATCCACTTGTATAGCCCCTTGATACAGACTATGCAGCCTCATTAAACATCCATCAGGTTGTCGGTCACTCAGGAGTTCAATATTAAATCTGTTTATATCAATGAAGTATAAGTTAAACCCACTTAAACAGAATTTATCAAACACCTTTGAACAAAACATACCACATTATAAATGTAAAAGTGATCAGAGATTTTAACGTATTCAGCACTGGGGAGGAAAAATAAACCCAAAAAAAACCCTCTTCAGGGGAAAGATAGCTTTGTAGTATTTGGTAGCTTTAAGACAAAACTAAACAAGCCTACCCCCCACCCCTACAACCCAATTATTATATAACTTAAAAATATAAAAGGAAATTCAGTCATTTAAAAGAAATAATCATTGAGACCTAGATAGGAATAGCCCTGACCCTTTCATTAAGAACTAACTACCCATTTAAAACAAGGCCTATTTGTTATATGATCTGAGTCAATCCCCCTATTCATAGCAACCTTAAAGGATAAGGAAGATCTGCCCTGTAGAATTTCCAGGACGATAAATCTTCATGGAAGCAGACTGCCGCCTCTATTCTTATTCGAAGGGTTGCTTTTTAGGCTATGTATAAGTTCTACATGAGCAAAATTAAGTAATTAAATATTCTAGGATTTCCATTTTTCTCAATATTATC